GAAGTCTCTTATGCTCACCAAGGCTGCATTTATTTGATCAGAAATACAGTAAAAAAGTAATTTTTTGAAATATTGCAATTTAAAATAGCTTTTCTATTTAAATGTATTTTAAAATATAATTTATTCCTTTGATGACAAAGCTGAATTTACATGATCCTTCACAAATCATTCTAATATGCTGATTTGATGATGAAGAAACATTTCTGATTTGAATCAATGTTGAAAACTGTTGAGCTGCTTGATATTTTTGTAGAAAACCCTGATAAATTTATTTTCAGGATTCTTTGATGAATAGATGAATAGTCACTTTTGATCAATTTATTGCAACCTTTCTTTCCCTCGCTCAAAAACAAAAAATAAAAATCTTAACATGAATTTAACATACATTAACCCAAATTTATTATATAATGATTTTAAATACTAGGTGAAATTGATTCAGTCATTTTATTTGGCAGATGTTGCTAATATTTAACAAGTTTCTCACCCCTATTGTGATTGTGTGTGTGCACGTGTGTACCTGTAGATGAGGGTCTGTCCTCCCACACTCTGTTGGTGAGTGGGGTGTGACAGTTACAGTCTCCCTCAGAGTGGACAGAGGACACAGATGAAGGTCTCTCTCCTCCAGACAGACCAGGACCAGGAGACTTAGTCTTGCGACCATTAGAGCGCCCTCCTTTGGATTTAACTGAATTCAAACACAGGACACAAACCAGAGATAGTCAGACAAACAAATATAAAGATATCTGAATATGTTTACAAAATAATTCTCAGCTGGTGGAACATAACTCAAAAACAGGCCATAGGTCTGTTCTGACCAGTGAAAAAAAAGTATGCAAATGCAACAAATACATAAGAGAGGCCATGCTTCTTTTGTTGTAGACATGAAAGGAACGAAACATGTGCATATTTACCAGTCACTTGGTAAAAATGAGAAAAAAAATGGGGTGGTGCCAAAATGAACAGGTCCTCAAAAAATAAAAGTATGCAAGATAAGAAAACACAACTGCATTAAATACAGGCTCATCATGTAACAATTTATTATCACATGCTGTTACTAATTTACATGTGAGCACATTTGATCCAAAAAATGGAGCCAAAACCTGACATATGCAGCCATGAAGGTAGCTGCATTATAAAGGGTTTATTTGGCGCACCTGGCAAGGAGTAGGGGTCTTCAGAACGCCCATCCACTGAAGCTGGCGGCCCGACAGCAGCTGGCACGCCAACACTCATCGAGTTGACAGAGTTGGACGGTGAGCGATCGTCCATCTGTTCATCATACTTTCCCATGAGGGCTTTCCTGATAATGGCCTCCAGACCTATAGTATTACCGCTGGCCTCTGGTGCCGGGTGACTGCACACGCTCACGGGTCCTAAAACAGATATTACAGTGGTTGTGTTAAAGAAACAGGAGTGTGTGAAGTTATTTGGCAAGCTTTCCTTAAGACAGAGGACAGTAGTATAAAATGAACGGCTGTTGAGGAGAAAAGACCACAAGTGGAGGAGCTGCTCACCAGCATTTGTAGAGGCGGGCATGTTAAAGATTTCTGTCCCAGGTTGGCCCTGGTCTAAAACAGAGACAGGAAAAGATAAGTTTGAGCCGTTTAGCCAGCAACAATAACATGCATATTAATGTCAGTTAAAACCCAACAGATTCAGTCCCATTAACTCACTGAATTCAGCCTCTGTGCCGACCACCATCTTCTTAATCATTTCCTTCTTGCTCTTGACAATAGAAGAGTTGCTCTCAGCCAGTTTACTGAAGAAGGCTGGTGGTTGAGAGCTACTGGCTGGTGAACGAGATCCCATACTGAGACACAAAAGCAGAGAATGAGTAATGAAAATACAGGATGAAAGATGATGTCCAATTAGTGAATGAAACCTTCTATCGAGTCAAATAGTTTTAATGATTCGTTAAAGAATGGAGCCTTTTCACAGACTGTGATGACGTGCTTCCAGAGCTATTAAAAATCAAATTGAAACGCAAAAATTATAATTGCAGTTTTCTATCCACCACTATGGAAGTTCACCCAATCATGATGACTTCCACCTCTGAGAACCAAGGGAATGTGAAAAGGGTCCATTGCATAGAATCAGTCTGAATTGTTGTTTGAACCAATTCACTCTAATGAGACCGACTCCCATCACTATTGTGTGAATGCATCTGTTCGTATGTTATATACCCCTGCTCTGCTTGTTCATTAGGGTAGGCAGCTCCTGGTGTCTCCGGCTCCGAAATGGCCCCTGGTGGTGAAACAGGTTCAATCCCATCAGCAGCCAGACTCACTGGAGAGGCCTTACTCTGAGGAGGAGACCTGTCTCTCCCTCTCTCCCTCTCAGCAGCAGCGCCTTCTGGGGTGTAGCGGGCGTTGGGGTCTGTGGGAGTCTGGGCTTGGGGGGCGCTGGGAGGACGAGTGAGATCCAGCACAGGGGAGCTGTGATATCCAAACACAGGCTGTAGAGATGATTGACCCCCTATCTGGCCTTGCTGCGACTGGCGCGTGTAGTCTTTAGTGATCACCTCCTGTAAAGCAGGAGACAAGTACAATATTTATATTTAGAATAGTTACTTTTTTTTACCTTTGTAAAAGGTAAAATTTATACAATTATTTTAAAAATGATTTTAATTGTGACAGCCATAACAGATTGTTTCATTTAATTGTCTAGAATTTGCTGGGCATTTTTGTGGCACTTACACTGATGTGCTGGGCGAGAGTGACCACTCTCTGAGAGCCTTTGACAGCAGAAGGCGGCTGCTGACCTGGAGAAAGTCTGTCCTCAGACCCATACAGCTGTTCTAGTGCCTTTTGGTGAGCTGCAGAGAGGACAGGGAAGCACACATAGACAGGAAAAGAAGACATGAAAGTGCGGTTGAGTATGGTGTGGCAGAAGGCTGTGGATTACAGTGAGGGTAAGAGCAGAGACGGGTGTGTAAGCGGTGCGGTCACATACAGGCTCTGGGATTACAGTACTCAATGACTTGCTCACACGTGTGTTCAGAGATCAAGCCAACATTATGGAGGCATCTGACTGTAGCGAAGTGTAAGTACTGTGCTGATTAGCAGAAATGCTTTGAACAAAAACACAACAATAAAACAGAAGCAAAATGCGTGTTTAAAATGAGCTGTGAAGGTAGGAGAAGTGGATATATCTGCTTTATTACCAGGCCTAAGAACCAGGGATATTTTCCTTTTTCTGCAGCTGTACATTGGATTTTCCCCAGTTTTCACACTAGCCATTATTATCTTTACAACAGAATAAAGTATATATTGACACGATAGAAACTGAGGCTGATATAGGGTGACCAGACATCTCGTTTTTCCCAGGACAGTCCCGTATTTCAGCTCTATTTTTAATGTCCCGACTTATTTTGAAAAAAATCACGTTTTCACCCACCTGTTTACGTTCTCTTAAGTCATAACCGACTGTATTTACATGAGATACTCCACACGATGGACATTTTGACAGCTGTGTGTGTATTTGACAATTCAGGCACAAGGAGAACTGATCGCAGAACTGGGATTGTGCGGCCGAGAGAGCATTTCTGTTGTGTGTCCTTCAGCATGATTCCGCGTATCCCGCCTTCACTTACTGCAAGTTATTCAAAAACGAATTGTGATTGGATGGTAATTTTGTTCCTCGACAAGCTTAGTTACCTTTGATTAGGCTGTTCTTGCGTGACAGTGACATCGACATCAACATCACTACTACTACTACTACTACTACTACTACTACTACTATACTGTATGATTCCGATTCCAATGATTGTATTCATTCTTTTGGCAGTTTTGAGAAAGCCTTTCACATATAAATGGTTTAAAATACATATTAAACAAAAAAAATAATATAAACAAAAACAATAATATTTACATTGACAACTCATGGATTCAATTCAAATTAATAGAAAAATCTTAAAAGACTTCAGGCACATCCAAGAACAACATTGGTTAAATGCAGTGATGTGAATCATGAGGAATTATTTATTCTAATCCCACATAATGTTTTCAGACACTTGACAAGTTTCATTATTTTTGAAGAAGCTCCCCCTCATAAATATGGTCCTAACAACATACACTACCTTTCAAATGTTTGGGCTTAGTACAACAGAAAAAAGTATATAATGAGTGACAAATGTGGTAACACCTGATTAAGGGCTACTGTATGATTCCGATTCCAATGATTGTATTCATTCTTTTGGCAGTTTTGAGAAAGCCTTTCACATATAAATGGTTTAAAATACATATTAAACAAAAAAAATAATATAAACAAAAACAATAATATTTACATTGACAACTCATGGATTCAATTCAAATTAATAGAAAAATCTTAAAAGACTTCAGGCACATCCAAGAACAACATTGGTTAAATGCAGTGATGTGAATCATGAGGAATTATTTTTTATACATTTTAAAATTATATATATCTATATATATATACACACATACATATATATATATATATATATATATGTGTGTGTGTATGTGTATGTATGTGTGTATGTATATATATATATATATATATATATATATTGTTCATTGTTAGTTCATGTAAACTAATGCATCAAACTAAATGAGACCTTATTGTGAACTGTTGTTGTTTTTGTTTTATTCCTGTGATGACAAAGCTGAATTTTTAGCAGCCATTACTCTAATCCTTCCACCATATCCTTCAGAAATTATTCTAATATGCTGATTTGGCGCTCAAGAAATATTTCTCACCACAGACAGTTGTGCTGCTTAATATTTTGTGGATAGTGTTTTTTTTATCTTTGATGAACAGACAGTTCAGAAGAACTGAATTTATTTGAAACAAATCTCTGGTAACACTATAAATGACTTCTCACTTCTCAATCTCACTCACTTCAAACTTTTGAACAGTAATGTACTAAAAGCAAGACTCATGTGTTTGATACTAGTAAGATTTTAGTCTTTTGGCTGTAGATTAAATTAGATGGTGGAAGAATCCAGATATTCAACAACCATTAAGAACCAAACACCTTGAAAATCATTCAGCTCCAGATCCATCTTGACCCTCTTTATCTATAATTTGTCAAATTTGTTTGCTTCATGCAGCTATCAAACTGTCAAAGTGCCAGAGTGCCCTCCCTCCAAAAAAGGAAATGAAACAGGAAGCAAACATGTAGACCTATGGAATGTTCCCCCCCAAAAAAAAAAAAAAAAAAAAAAGAGGTAAAGGGGGAACACAAGAGGCAAGCCGATAAAGACATTATGAAACGATGAGCAACCACATGACTGTTGAATGACTGAGCTCTTAAAGTTCACCTCAGGATCTCTCTGTGGTCTAGAAAAGCTTGTCTCCAGACACGTCATTCTGGACCATTAGGGCGTAGAGTGAATTATCAGTCCACTAAGATATACGCCTGTGGCCATTACAGAGCAGAAGCTCAAATCATTTAATGAGCTTCACTACATTCATTTGTGGAAGTTTGGACTGAAACGTGCAGAATCTCCCCTCAAAATCTGGATTTGGCAAACGGTCAAATAGGTTTAGGTGATGCAAAAGGGGAGGTAAACCTTTGGTGGTCTTTAAGCAATGCTTCAGATGCCAAAAAAATATAAAAAGCAATAGATAGAAGCATATACAAAGAAACAAAAATAACCAAACCGAAAGAATATGGAAACCAGGTTGATTCTGATCAATGCCAACCACCACAAGCGTGCACTAGGCCACAGACGTAAGGGGGTGGGGATGGGGCAGGGGCACAGGAGGGGAAGAAGAAGGGTGGAGGGATGGAAAGGTGTTGGGTGGATTGGTAGAGAACAGGAAGGACAGGGAGGGGAGGGGAGGGGAGGGAAGGTGGCGTTAACAGCCCAAAGGTCCCAGAGCGTCTTACCATCACAGGTGCCGTTGGTCGCGAGCGCACCAGTCTCTGGCATCGACGCATCACAAGAAATTTGATGCATGATTATCGCGTTTATGAAGTTGGCCGCTGTCATGGTGGTCTTACCGAGTGCTCGAAGTTCGTGTTCCTGTAAGGACATCACTTTGTTTTGAGTCTTTTCCCTACTTGACGCGCTGCTGATGCCATCCCCACCGCGGGACGGGATGGAACTGCTGCCGCCGTTGTTTTCGGAAGCCAGCAAGGGGTGCCCTCGACTTGTGGGCAGACCGAGGTGGGCACCAGGGGCCTGGCTGTACGGAGAGGGGTATGACCCACCGTCACCAGGGCTGGCCAGCTTGGGGTCAAACTTGGAAGAGGATGAAAGGTCCTGATGTTTGGGCAGACCTCCACGCCCATGGCTTTTGCCCCCATCTCTATTTGAATCTTTAGCGTTTGAGTCTGTACCGGATGGGTAACCCTCATTGGCTAGACCAGACCGAAGGTGCCCACTGAAGCCCTGGTAGCGAGCAGATCCTGGTGGCCTGAAGAAAGGTAAATGTAAACAAATTATGTTGTTTATCTCACTGGCCTTACCATCAGGCAGCAGTTTGAGCAGTGGAGACTCACCGCAGCACAGAGGGACTGTTGTGCTCAGAATTGGGCAGGCTCTTTGAGCTGGTGTTGTGCAGAACACTAGGTCTCTGCTGCAGGCTGTCCTGGGGACGAGGGGAGAGCGGAGACGACTGGTGACTGTATGGATGAGACGGGGGACGAGAACTGCTGCTGCTGCTGCCACCCATCTGTTCTGGTGCTCCTGTTTGGACACAATGTTCAGACATTTAGCAACGCTGATCTGCATATTGATTATTGGCTAAAGTACACGGACACCGAACAACTCAATATGAATCCAATTATAATTGCAGCTGTAAATCTGTGTTTTAGAAAACTGAAATGAAGCTGAAATGAAATATGAAAATGAAAATATATAAAAATATCAGATGAAAAACTGAAAAATATATGTTAAAGTTGAAATACTAAAAGGACTAAAACTGAAATAAAAATAAATTAAAGCTATATAGAAATTGAAAAACTCCAAAAACTAATAAAAAAAGACAAAAGTACATTACTAAAACTAAAAAACAAATATTTATGGGTATTTATATAAATATATTATACTATATAATATATATTATATTATATATTATACTATATAAATGGTTCTAAAATAGCAGCTGTAAAACAGTTAATGATTTATCAAGTTAATTGTAAAATCTGTCAATTAGCTAAATTAATTACAATTAATCCTATAAATATTTGCTGAAAAGAGCCCCCAAAGACGACAATATAAAGACGTTCCATAAATTGGCTGTACACATTAAAAGTAAAAGGCAGTGAGGGCGCTCACCTGGTCTCCATATAGGAGCATGTTCCACGTTACCATGACCGAGGGACTTGTCTCTTTCTCTGTCCCGATCTTTCTCACGCTCTCTCTCTCGGTCTCGTTCCCTGTCCCTCTCTCGCTCTCGGTCTCGCTCACGATCCCTCTCTCTTTCTCTCTCTCTCTCCCTCTCCCGTTCTCTTTCTCTCTCTGAGGATGTCGAACTGCCTTGGATCTTGCTCATGTGAGAGGCTCCCACTGTTGAGAGATAGAGGTATAAAGTGAATGACACTTATAAAGAAAATTCGTTTTAAATCACCATGTTGTTTGTTTGAGTGAGTGTGTTGCTTTGTACCTGGTGAGATGGGAGATGTGTTGTAGGCTCCGCTGGGGAAAGCTGGAGAAGTTCCTGGGATGTATGTGATACGATCCATGGGAGAGGCAGATGTTCCTGCAAATGGACAGAAAAAATTCACGTGCATCAGATGATCATAAGTATGTGACATGTTGTTTTTATTTTTGTATTCATATACATGACCAGGTTATTTGGAATAGTTCTCAAAAAAATTTTTAATATACCATTGTTTACTAACTCTCATGCAATTGTCAGTGAATAATGACTTAAATTGTGCTCTATTTCTTTAGAAGATTTAAAATATGTCAAGGACAAAAGCCCCTATAAGGACCCCTCACCTCTGTGTGTAGGTGAGTAGGCTAAGTTAAGAGACTGCTCTCGAGGTGTTAGGCCTCTGAGCAGGTCGGGTCTCTGGGCAGCCATGGCAGCAGCGGCTGGCCACTGGTGCATCTGCTGGGAGGTAATGTAGTCGTTGAAGAGCGTTTGTCTGTTCTCCAGGGCTGCTGTTTCAGGGAAACCTCTGATCAGGTAGGGTGAGTAGTGGTGAGGGTAGCCAGGGCCAGGGGGCAGGTGACGGGGCAGGTAATACGCTGCTGTGGAGACAAGAAACAATGTCAAAGCCAACTGACAAATACATTACATAATGCATGATATACTACAATTATTTTCAAATATAAGTTTGGAGCCAGTTTGTTCAAGTCTATTTTGTTCACCAGGGCTGCATTTATCTGTTAAAAAATACAGTAAAAAGTTATATTGTGAATTAATACAATTTAAAACTGTCTTCTATCTGAATATATTTTAAAATGTGGTTTATTCCTGTGATTCAAAGCTTAATTTTCAGAAATCAATACTCCAGTCTTCAGATATTTCAGAAATCATTCTTGTATGCTGACCCCAAACTTTTGAAAGGTAGCATATATGTAACTTTAAACACATTTAATATATATAAATAAAATGGGAAATACCCTGATATCATTACACATTTTAAGAAAAAATAAAAAAAAATTTTCCTGGTCTGGAAATCACACGTTCCCTGATATTTCCAAGTATTCCATAACAATGGCAATTTTCACCCTAATATTTGTGCTGCTAAACTGCAAATACCTGGCTCAATCGGGATTCCCCTGGGCAGAGTTGCAGGGTCAAATGGTAGAGGTATCTGGCCACGGTACATATCCGTTCCCAGCCCCTGCAGGATCCTCTCGTAGGCCAAAGACGCAGTGTGCTCACCAACTGCCAGTGGAGACTTAGTGGAGTTTACCTCACGAGGGGTGGGAGTGGCTTTTCTCTCCTGCTGCTGGGCCTTACTAGAGCCTAAGTCACACACAGTGAAACAACATTTAAACACCATACAAACTACCACCAGCTCCTGAAAGCCAGTGATTTGTAGAACATGATACCTTCATGTGCACGCTGTGAGGTTTCTCTGCCGGACAGTGGAGAGGCTCTGTGCGAAGGCGGAGGGTAGCCGGATCTTTTGTGATCTTCATAGCCCACTGGACTGTGGTGGGGTCTGCTGCTCTGTTCTCCACTAAGTGCCAATGGAGAAGTACGGGACAGAGAACCGGGGGTGCTGACCACAGCGCTGGGTCGTGATTTGCTCCCTACCTCCTCATATCGGGCCCTGTCAGACCCTCTGTGCTCGGGCCTGAGCTCTAGATGAGAGGGCATTCCAGAGTAAGGCCGAGGAGAGCTGGCGATGATGGACCGCACATCATGGCGCTTGGATGAGCCAACAGGCTCTTGTTTCAGAGGGGTGCCCTGTAGAACACACATTTGGTGAATATTCAGTTAATTTGACAAAGGGTTGAGTGGTATTGATGTTTAATGTATACTGTAAAGGCAACATTTGAATCTTATCAAGTCTTGTTACTTTTGGATTTTCTTTATATTTTTGAATGTATTTAATGAACAACCTATTAAAGAATTTATAGTATGGCAAATGTAAGGATTTTGATCCAGAAGAAACTGGGTCATTAGAACCTCTGGGTTATTTGTTCTGTCAGGCACCTTTATTTTATTGTAGAGGTACAAAAATGTACCCTAGTTCTCATCATTTTGTAAATTTCAGTATTTATAGCCCTTAAGTATTTTCAGCAGTTTCAGACAAAACCTCTAAATATTCTATTAAATAAACATGGGAAGAAAAGTGTAGTACTTTCAGGATTTCTGAATATATTTTAAAATTTGGTTTATTCCTGTGATTCAAAGCTTAATTTTCAGAAATCAATACTCCAGTCTTCAAAAAATTTAAATACTCCAGTCTTCAAAAAAATTTATTTGTCAGATATCCTACCATACCAAGAAAACACAAATCAAAGCCAGTCACCTGGGTGATTGAGCCCTCCTTAGGCTTGCCTATCACAACCCCCTCAGGAGGGATCAGGTGGATGGAGCGTCCTCCCTCTTTGACGGTGGTCACCATACTCTCGTGAGAGCGTGATTTAAGAGTGTCAGTGGGATGACCAGGGCCACGGGGTGATGGGGAACCCTCTCTTTTCATCTGTTTAACCTCCCGGCGCTGACAGTCATCCCGCGGGATTCCTGGGAGAGAAAAAAATGTAAGACAAAGGAAATAAGAGCAAGAGCTTGTATGAGCTAAAGGTGTTCAGTCGAGGCTGAGTTTCTGAGATCATACTGACCTTGGGATATGGATCCACGGATGTGGTGTAGATGAGGACTATCACGCTCGTGAGGCATTGCTCGACTGATCAAGCCTGCAAAAGAGGGAGACGGCAGGTGAAGGAACGTTAACTGGAAAAAGGATAAACAGTGGAACTCTGTTGTACATGCTTGTTAAAGAAGGGCGTCTTATGCTCACCTTCAGTGGCAGATATTGAGTCTCTGATGGGTGGCACACGAGAAATGCCAACCTCCATCATGTCATAGGTCCTCTTCAGCCCAGCCATGTCTCCACGACCCTCTTCCTTAGAATTTGGACCCCCTGTGTGTTCAAACACAAACAATAGTCAGAGACAACTGCTCCCTTTATTAGGTTCTGAGCATTTGCATGTTTGTGTACACTTACGGTCAAAGGAGAGGATGTGTCCACTGATGCCCTCGTAGACTACGTGCCCCTTAGAAGGAGTGTCTTCTCTGCTTCTCTCTCTGCTGGGGCTGTCCTCAGTGATCAGACGGGTTATTGTGCCCTTATACAAGACATCTGCAGGGGTGCCCTGAAAGAAATGATAGGAAAGGCTTGAAACAAAATGATAATTTTTTCTTCCCGTTTGTGACATATATCCAAGTGATACTTTGTTTAATGGGGGAAAAAATGTAGGATGTAGCTTGATTTTGAATGGATTGTTGCTGTTTGCTAATTACTGCGAGTAGACATCATCAGAGAAGAGAAGTCATTTTGAGGGGGGAGGGGACGTTAATGCTTTGAATGAAAGATTACAAGACTACATGAATTTAAAAATAATAATGATGTGCATGGATAAATCATTTATAATAAACATGGCAATATTAAATAAAAACAGTCAAAATGACTTTAATGCACACATAAGAGAGAAAAAAACCCAGAAAACAATCAGCAGAAAAACTGCTTCAGAAAAAGAAAGTCAACAAAATACGAAAACATTTACTTTAGAATAACATGCAATAATATAAATGAGGCAAATTTACAAAGATAGTAACTGGTCAATTTTGTGTTTATGTTGTCTTTAAAGGTGACGCATGTAATAAGTAAAAACACTTGTTGAAATACTTTTTCCAAGTACAGTGTGTAAAGGCAACTATGACTAAAAGACGTAAGAAAAAAATAATTAAGATCATGCCACACAAAAACCTTTGTAATTTTAGGAAGACTACAATGTACATCAAGGATGTTAAGACTTCCTGGGGACTGACCTGGTTTGACCCTTGTGTTGTGAGAAAAGAGGAAGCAAGCACTTTGTGTCACTGGTATTTCATAACAATTATATTTTAAGGTTACAGTAATGAAGAATATGATCATGTTGATTTTGTGCCACAAAAAAGGCCGACAACTATTCAAACTGTTGCAAGAAATCACAGCAGGACAAATTAATTTTAAAAGTTTGATCTTTAACTGGTGGACTGGACAATGTTTCAGCATTACATAACACTGTATGTCGTACAGCTGCATATGCCCATATCTCAGGTGAACTCTTACTGACAATGACTCCTTATCTCCCAATAAATCTGCCAATAATGTCACACAGTTAAACACAGAGCTTATCTCTGGTCTGATTAAACGCTCGCCCTAACCCATTCTGATTTGCTTGAGCGTGTAAAGGCCGATTCACACAGCGCTGACAAACGCCAACAGACTAGTCTAGTTGGATCTTTGGGAGGAGAGGCCAGAGCTGTATGCGGTGGGTGTGGCCGAGTATACTAACCGCAACGCGAGGGGGAATGCGATCAGATCGATCGTATTCTAAATCCAGCGTCCAACGTGTCTGTTGGCGTTTGTCGGCGCGGTGTGAATTGGCCTTTATGTGTCACAGTAGGTCAGTTGGCACACTGAGTACGTGTTTGAGTGATCGGTAACATCAGACTGCGTAGGCGTATAAACACATTAATAAAAGGAGAGAATAGGATTGGACTCTGTGTACCTGTTGCTATGGCAACTGATTACCAGTTATGTCATAATATGACGTGATATGGCTGAGACACAAACTGCCCGTTCCATTTGCTTTTTGAAGGGGCTTTTATAGGAGCTGACTGCTCACTGTAATGTTTGGATTCCAAGAATGAGAACATCACATAACAGAAAAACACTGACACAGTTGTAACCACAAATATGAACCAAGTTCATGGTGCATTTTCCATTTTTAAATGTGTGCTGTGCAGACAAAAGCTTCTTACCTGAGTGATTGAACCTCCTCGATATGATATGGAAGGTTCTTGGTGCACACGTGTGCCAGGGATGCCCTTCGTGATGCTGCCACCCTGAACAGCTGGCATGGGGCCTGTAAGAGCGAGTTAAGGCTTTCAATCTCTTCATGATATGAGCCTTATTTCTGCATTTTAATCTCTTTGAATTAAAACTGAATTGAGATGAGGGATAATGATTTGTCCCAAACTCACCCCGTGACGTAGCGCTGTCCTGTGAGGAGAGATTATCAGTCTGAGAGGAGGCGGCCCCGCGTGGAGACAACTGCTCCTGTTTAACCACTGGAAACCCTCCTGAGGAGACAGAAAGAGATGTTGGATATGGAAAATGGACAGTTGACGTGTGATCTCTCACAATCATGACTCAAACTCACCCATTTTCCTCTGGTCCATCCAGGAGAGAGCCAGGGATCCTGGTGCTGGGATTTTCCCATGGTCGGAGCTATGAGAAGGGTTGTGCAACTGCACCGGAGTACCCTGCAATACAAAACCAGTTTAATTATGCATGTTCACATTAACAAGCCATTAAAACACTCTGAATGTATTATACATAATACTGATGATAGGTCCCAGTTATACAACTTGTGCTGCTTTTACCTGCGTGATGGAACCACCAGGTTTGGCAGAGGAGATGAGAGGAGGGGGTTCTGGGATATGGAGAGGCCGCACTGCAGCCATTCTCTCCTGTGGCTGTAGAGTGGGAGCCAATGCTGAAAGAGGGAAATTAAAAAAATACATATAATCTCAATAAGATTAATAACAAAATTTAAATTATTAATGGTATTATTTACACTACTGGTCAAAAGTTGGGAATAATTAAGAATTTTTTTTTTTTCAGCACTGTAATATTATATATACACTATTGTTTAACAGTTTGGGAGTTGGTAAGATGTTTTAAAATGTTTTTCAATTCAAGTCTCTTATGCTCAACAAGTCTGCATTTATTTGATCAAAAATACAGTAAAAACAGTAATAGTGTGAAATATCACAGTTTAAACGAACCGTTTTCTTAATTTAATAGGCTGATTTGGTGCTCTATTATCAATAACTACTGGTGCTCAATTATTAAAAATGGTTCTTATAACTGTCAATGTTGAAAACAATTTTTGCTGCTTTATATTTTTGCATAAGCTGTGATTTTTTCAGAATTTTTGGAGGAATAGAAAAGTTTATTCTTATGAACAAAAGAACAAGAGCCCTGCACGGGACTCAAATTTAGGCCCTAGCCCGGCCCGTGTCCGACAGCTTATCAGAGTAAGCAGACGGGTTATTGTGCCCTTGTACAAGACATCTGCAGGAGTGCCCTGAAAAAAATGATAGGAAAGGCTTAAAACAAAACGCAAATTTTTTCTTCCCTTTTGTGACATATATCCGAGTGATACTTAAATCATGCTGCACAAACTACTTGAAGACTAAAACTACCTTCGTAATTTTAGGAAGACTACAATGTACATCAAGGAGGGTAAGACTTCCTGGGGTCTGACCTGGTTTGACCCTTGTGTTGTGAGAAAAGAGGACTCAAAGCAGCAAGCACTTTGTGTCACTGGTATTTCATAACTATATTTTAAGGTTACAGTAATGAAGAATATGATTATGTTGAATCTGTGCTACAAAAAAGGCAGAGAACTGTTCAAATTGTTGCAAGAAATCGCAACAGGACAAATTAATTTTAAAAGTTTGATCTTTAACTGGACAATGTTTCAGCTTCAGATATACTAGTTAAAACATCATGTCATACAGCTGCTTATGACCATATCTCTACCTGTATCAGGTAAACTCTTACTGACAATGACTCCTTATCTCTCCATAAATCTACCAATAATGTCACACAGCTAAACACAGAGCTTATCTCTGCTCACAGAATTGACCTCGGTCGGATTAAAGGCTCGCCCTAACCCATTCTGATTTGCTTGAGTGTGTAATGTATGTCACAGTAGGTCAGTTGGCACACTGCGTGCGTGTCTGAGTGATTGGTAACATCAGACTGTGTAACTGTGTAAACGCATTAATAAAAGGAGAGAATAGGATTGGACACTGTGTACCTGTTGCTGTGGCAACTGATTACCCAGTTATGTCATAATATGACGTGATATGGCTGTGACACAAACTGCCCGTTCCATTCGCTTGTTAAAGGGGCTTTTATATGAGCTGACTGCTCACTGTAATTCATGGATTCCAAGAATGAGAACATCACTTCACAGAAAAATGCACTGACACAGTTGTACCCAAAAATATGTTCAAGTTCACTGTGAATTTTCCTTTGTACACGACAGATGGCAAGCTTGTAAATGCTTTGTGTTCCATACGCATGAGAGTCAATGCACCAGCTCAATGCTAGTGAGAGAAAACAAGCTGCATAATATAGATTAGCCACACCTGCGTGATAGAACCTCCTCGATATGACATGGAAGGTTCTTGGTGCACACGCGTGCCAGGGATGCCCTTCGTGATGCTACCACCCTGAACAGCTGGCATGGGGCCTGTGAGAGAGAGTTAACGTTTTCAATCTATTCACGATATAAGCCTTATTTCTGCAGTTTAATCTCTTTGAACTAGAACTGAATTGAGATGAGGGATAATGATTTTTCCCAAACTCACCCCGTGACGTAGCGCAGTCCTGTGAGGAGAGATTCTCAGCCTGAGAGGAGGCGGCCCCGCGTGGAGATAACTGCTCCTGTTTAACCACTGGAAACCCTCCTAAGGAGAGAGAAAGAGGATATGGAAAATGGACAGCTAACGTGTGATCTCACAATCACGACACAAACTCACCCATTTTCCTCTGGTCCATCCAGGAGAGAGCCAGGGATCCTGGTGCTGGGATTTTTCCATGGTCGGAGCCATGAGATAGGTTGTGCAATTGCACTGGAGTACCCTGCAATACAAAACAACATGTACACCAGTGTAATTATGCATGTTCACATTAATACACCATTAAACCACTCCGAATGTATTATACATAATATTGATATGCCCCAGTTATACGACTTCCAAAGAACATTGGTACTGTGAGAGATTATGTGGTGCTCTTACCTGCCCACCAGGTTCACCAGGTTTGGCAGAGGAGATGAGAGGAGGGGGTTCTGGGATATGGAGAGGCCGCACTGTCTCCTGTGGGCTGTGATTTTTTCAGAATTTTTGGAGGAATAGAAAAGTTTATTCTTATGAACAAAAGAACAAGAGCCCTGCACGGGACTCAAATTTAGGCCCTAGCCCGGCCCGTGTCCGACAGCTTATCAGAATTACCGTCCCGAGCTCGTCTTTTTTTCCCCCCTCTCCCAAAATGGCTTATACTACTGTTTCAGCTATTAAAATAATTCAGTTTTGTATGTAATGGCAAAGTGATTATATTTCATTTTGTTTTTTTATCAAGTTAATTTAGAAAAATGTTTGGAGCATTTTTTGTTCGTTAAATAGGCCTATAAGTTTTTGTTTTTTAAAGTAACGACCAAGCGGCAAGCGGCAGACAGTGAGCTGATCATAGCCTATGTTTGATCAATTTAGCCTTCTCAAATCATCTCTCAATCAAGACTTGCCTAAAATAAAATCTATAGATATACTAAAACAGTTCAAGCATATAACAATGTTTAAACGTTAAACCTAGATAAATGTGCGCTATATCCAATAGTAGTGCGGATGTGGAAGCTAAAGCGCGCTTTGCAGGACATGGAGGCGCCAGCGCAATCACTTGCATTTTTTTCAGTGGAAACAACTTAAAATACGCCGTTATTTTTGCTCATAAAGGTAAGAGTAATACATCATTCTAAACTGTAAAGGGTCTAGCTTTATTTGTGTGCACTCACAATATCAACAAAACGTTATGCGTTTATAAAATAAAGAAAACAAACGCTTTCTGCCGTCTCTAAACTCAGCAAATTGCCTCATAGACATGATTAAAGTTATTTTTTTTCATCACTAATTGATGGATGTCTAAAATATAAAAATAAGGAGAAGCCTAAAACAGGCCCGAGGCCCGGCCTGCGTCTGAACTATGATGTGAAAATTGGCCTGAAGCCCGGCCCTAGGGGCGTAAAAAAGTGATGCAGGGGGGCTGAAATGCAGGGCTCTACAAAATAAATCTTCTGCAACTAAATAAACATCTTAACTGAAAAATACTGAAAGTATTTATTTTTTTTGTCCTTTTTTTTTTTTTTTACACATGGTAACGTATAATGGTTTGATGATGACTGGAGTAATGGCTCCTGTAAATTCAACTTTGCACTAGTGTTGGGTGATATGCTCCATAGCTATATCATCCTATCATTCGCCTGTGAGATCGCCAATACACAATATTATCTTGCTAATTTATTAAATTATTTACTTACTTAGATTAATAGCCGGAGAGTGAACCAACTCCAGGGTACGGCTAAAAGCAGCCTAATGTAATCTATTAACTACACATTATATCTTTTTAGTCAATCTCTTATACCTACATCGCACATAAATCTGCACTTCGTTGTTTATGATGAGAGAATTTGTGACAGTAGAATTCAGACAGTGAGCGCGCATTGAACAACAAAACTCCGGTGTTTCAGCGATGACTAATCTTTTGGCCACTGCATTCTTAAACTCAACGGAATCGTGTGAGATTAGTTATAACACGCAACACTGTAGAAACGAGGAAAAAGAAATATGATGGAACAAATAATCCCTAATATTAATTAGATATTATCATAATTAGATATAAATAATAATAATAATAATAATAATAATAGTCTTGCGATCATCAAAGGCATCAGCCACAGGCGATATCTCTCACTATTGTCGATACACAATACTATCTTCTATCAGCGCAACCCTACTTTGCACTCAAAGGAATAAATTACATTTTTTAAATATTAAAAAATCAAAAATCAGTTTTTAAACTGTAATGACAATTCCCAATAATATTACTGTTTTTACTGTATTATTGATCAAATAAAAATCTTAATTATTTTAAACTTTCTAACATATTTTATATGTTTAGCTAATGTTATTACATTGTGTCTGTGTATATATATACACATAAATAATATTTTATGATAATTATTATTTTTGACCTAATTAACAGGGCTATGTTGTCTTACAGGGATTGTAGTGTAGCAGCTGTTCATGGCTGAGTTTGGCCATGTCTCTGGGAGAGAGCTGGTACGGTGACAACACTGGCCGGCCTAGACCTACAGCCCGAACGTCATCAGCCCCGGGAATCTTTTTACCATCCGCAAGAGGAGAGAATGCTCGAGATTTATCTGCACACATGGAAAAAACCATACAAAGGTGACTGCCAAACAGATAATTACTGGATAGCATTCTATGACACTCTTTTTTGCCGAAGGTGAAAATGAAAAGCTCAAATCATCACAACCCCTGCATCAAAAGCAGCAATCTCCAGTGTGAAAACACACAGACAGCAGTTATTCAGACTCTTCCTCGCACACATTCACAGATCATCAGGCTCATCAACACACTGTAAGCTGGAATCTGCGAGCTTAGCGGCATGCAAACACATCTGCAAATCATTCACACTCCCAGAAATCAACACGCTTGATTAGAGTCTGCTCCAACAGTGAGTATTGTGTGTGGTGTGTAAACCTACGTAATCCATGTAGCAGAGCCTGAAGCCATCTCTCGTTCCCCTCCAGCTCTGCAGGGACAGACACACTGCAGCTCATCACATGGCCATGACCCAAGACTCTCTTTCTCTCCAAGTACTCGAAAGGAGCAGTTTTGTGACAACTTAGTTCGGAGTGCCCAAATTAAATGACACCATAACAATCTATTTTTGAATGAAGTGAAATTTCCCTGTTGAGGACTCCTTCTCCCATAAATAACATGTAATAAAACTGAGATTATATGATAATCATGTTATGGTCGATAATAATAAGATAAATAAACAAATAAATAAAAACTACACCAGTTTGTCTGCACTTTTAAAGGGATAAACTGAAATATAGAATATACAGAAAACAAGAGTTTAAGTAAAGGATAATGCACAGTCAGTCAATTACTGTAAAATAAAAAGATTTTTCTGCCAAAATGTCCTGCTGACTGTACATTATCCCATTTATTATGCTAATCCCCAAATAAAATAAAAAAATAGAACATGAAATATTGATTTGGGTTGAAATTGTTTTACTTTGAAAGAGAAATGAGGCCACGGAGTGGTGCGAGAGATATACGGACTAGCACAGCCATGTAGGAAATTAACTGCCAGGGGCAACAAGTCAATTATACACTTTAGTGGTCATTATACAAAACACATTTGCTGACAGAATTCTGCAACTGGCCTTTCAGAATCAAGTTTGCCAAAGAGCAGTGTAATAAATATGAAATCATGTCTGATGGACATTATACAAAATAAGAATCACTTATCTCAGCTCATACCAATATGGTCACAAATCTATTGTGATACCTAATATGTGTTCAGAGAGTAAAGACCGGCAAGGTTATTACAGTTTTGAACCTTTTGAAAAAGGTTATTTTTTGCTGTATTTTGGTTTTCAATTCCAGTTTCAGTTGGTTTTAATATTTCATAAACTCAAGATTTTACTTTTTCTGTGTTTAGGTGGATCATGGCAAAATTTCAGCACTATTTTGCAGGCAAATAGATTAATCTATGGTCAATAGTGTAGTGATGTATGAAACACAGCTCACACTTTCAAACCAAGCAGCTTTCTGGTGGTGATTTTGGAGAACCTGTGAGACCAACTTGAACCCTTGAATCTGTATGAAGAAATGTTTCACCCTAATGTGAAATTCATGATAATTTGAAATGATTTTGCCTCTGAAAATCGGCCAAGCAATAGTAAATGTGATGCACCCTTTGCCTGTAAAACCTGTCACCCCTTTGTTGCACATCAAGCTGTTACTAAGACAGCATCAATTTCATAATTGCACATGTCAAGTAACAAAGTTGGTTCACTAGCTGTCCATCTAGGTGGTCGGGTCTTGGCTAAATATACACTGACCATGTTTACTATATTTACAACCAACACTCTTCACAGCGCTCAAAAAGGCAACAACCCTACTGCTCACTCCACATGTGTACAGACACACATCAGAACTTCCTTAGTTGGTGTAGTAGACACAACCGAGGAAAACAATGGTGGTTGAGAAAGCTGGAGAGGAAAACGAACTGAAAGAATAGATGAAAAGATAATGAAAAGAGGGATAAAGACCAGCTTACCTTCTCTCTCTCTCTCAGAGACACCAGGGCTGCGAGTCCTGACCCGTGGGCTGCTTGAGTCTCCGCCCCCTGTGTTATGCTGAGATTTGGTTGGCTGTGATTGTTGCTGTTTGGCCTCCTGGGAAGATTCATGTGCCATGGTAATCTGCTGCTGGTACAATGCAAGAGCGTGGGGCATAGCCTGCTGCTTCCCCAGCAACCTGGGCCGGTTATCGCGTCCTGCTACCGACATCTCTGGCATCTACAAGCAGAGACACAAAATGCTCATTACACAGCATTATACAAAACATGTACATGTTACATGTACAAGTGCCATATCGTGATAAACCAGTAACACAGAGTCTGTAATTTTTTGGTAGGTTTATTTTAACGTAGAGAGACAGAATATCAACCAAAAAATCCAGAAAAAACACATTATATAAAGGTTAGAAATTGATTTGCATTTCAGTGAGTGAAATAAGTATTTGATCCCCAAGCAAAACATGACTTAGTACTTGGTGCAGAAACCCTTGTTGGCAAGCACAGAGGTAAGACGTTTTTTTTGTAGTTGGTCACCAGGTTTGCACACATCTCAGGAGGGATTTTGATCCACTCCTCTTTACAGATCCTCTCTAAATCCTTAAGGTTTCTTGGCTGTTGTTTCACACACACACACACACACACACACACACACATATATATACAGAATATATACTATATATATATATATATATAACAAAAACTCAAATTGGTATTTTAACTATACAGGGCTCCATACTGCGACCAACCATTTTTTCTGCCTGTGCGACTAAATTTTGTGAGCGGTCACACTGGCGCGACCACCGCGTTGTTCAACTCTTAAGCTCTGCCATTTCTGTTGCATATGAGAAACATCAAATGGCAAACGAAACCATAACGAAACCGCGCTACTCGTTTGAACTGTGTAGTGCTTACAGTGTAGAGCCTGGTTTAGCGCGAAGGAGCGCGAAGCAAAATTGATGCGAATATTGAGACAATGATGGATGGTTTTCAAGCTAAAGTAAAAGACCGATTCTTAA